CCAGTAACTGCTAACCCGCCTGGCAGCATATGCGGCGCCCTGAGCTGCCTTGTGAAACAGAACCTGCTTCTCAAAGGGGATGCAGGGAGATGGGGACATGGGATTCACCAGAAGTCAGAGCTTTTTCTGAAGTCTTGGCAGTTATGTGACTGTTGTCATTTTTCTTATTGATTGCCACACCAGATCTGTTCAGCTTTGTAATAAAAACAGATAAAGGGGGTGACCAAATCAGAATAAAAAGGAAGAGGAAGCCAAAATGGTTGAGAATATGCATTATTATCCTCATAAATGATACACAGCCCAGTAGAATAAAATGAATGGTACGTTTCTTTTTCCCATTGTCTTACATCAGGAAAAGTCTGAAGTGGTATAGACTCTCCATTTTTTTAAACAAATAATCACCAATCTATTCTATGTTTAGCAGACATCCTGATTTATTTTTTCATGTTCTGTATTTCTCCATAAAGAGATACCTGTTAGAAATGTTACCATACATATACCTGCTAAAAGTATTATTCTTATGCTTTCATTAATCATCTTATAGTGCTCTCAGAATGGAACTCATACATATAGGGAACTTACTTATTGTGAAGTTCTTACCAAAATTTATAATTTGTATTCAATATGAGGAAAAGACAGCCTCAAATTGAGGGACTTTTTACAAAATAACTGAATGATATTCTTCAAAAGTCAGGAAAGATAAAGACTGAGAAATTGTCCCAGATTGGAGACTAAGAAATCAGCAAAACTAAATATAATGTGTAAACCTGGACTGGATCCTAGGTCAGAAAAAGAATACTAGTGGTACAATTAGAAACATTTTTGTAAGGTCTGTAGATTAGTTAAGAGTATCCTATGTTAGTTTCCTGGTTTCAATTATTAAACTAAGATTATGTAAGATGTTAACATTAGGGGAAGTAAGGTGAAGGGTATGTTGAAATTCTTTGTACTATTTTGCTACATATTTTGTAAGTCCAGAATCCTTTCAAAGGAACAGTTAATTTTTTTAAAATTAAAAACAAATCTGAAAATCTAGATAATTGGATTCAGTGCATATCTGCAAGGAGTTGATGCATTTCTGAGAAAAAGAAAATGGAGATTTCAAGTTGCTTGCATTTACATAAGATCAGTGAATAGCTTGAGCATCCTGGCATTTTAATTAAAGAGAGAATGAGACCCACGAAGGCAGAAAGACACACAGTTAAAGACATCTTATGATGGCATGTCGGCATTGACAAAGCATTTCAGGACTTCCTCTTGGAGTCACACCAAGGAGGTGATCACTGTCCTTGTCACAGCCATGTCTGTGCTACAGAATCAAAGGCAGGCTTTTCTCTGATTGGTTGGGTCAGGCTGCTAATGAGGCAAAGGTCGTGGATTGGATCCGCTCTCAGGGCCTGTGAGTGTCACTCTGTCTCCTGACATTTCTCTGATCACAGAGAGCCAGGTGTGACAGCTCGACTGCACCAGCACAAGGCTGGCCCTACTGCGGAGAAATAATGAAGACCCACACCCTCCCTGAGGTCACCTTTAAACATAACAGGCATACTTGAATAGAATCCCCATCATCTAGATATGTTTCTAAAAATAACTGCACCAGGAAAGGGATCCCTTATTAGATTCACTTTTCCATATTTAACCTATAATTAGGAGACCAGGAAGGGTGAAGCTGATTGGCCTCCAATGCAATTCACTAACACAGAAATTCTTGAGAGCCACATTACCTCCTTAGCAGAAGCATGAGCTAGCTTTAAAGGCATGAACTCTGTTTTAATATCACTTATGCAGCCACCAAAGAACATAAAGAATGGGGCTGCTGACCTTGCTCCTGACAGACATTTTCGGTTTTCATGTTCCAAAAATTATCAAGAAGGGGCTTCTGTCAACATGACTTTTCCTGAGTCTCTTGTGTTTACGAGGAGAGCTTTCCTGATGTATTCAGGATTTCAAACTGGAAGGTAAGCATGAAGATGGAAACGTCTTTGTTTCAAGTATCAGTGTGTTTTAGAGACAAAAGCAGCTAAGAAATCAGAACAGATTTAAGCATACGAATTGATTTCATTATCATAAGCAAATACAGCAATTTGAAAGAAAATTTACTTGTGTGGTAATTTTTAAGTTAAAAAAAAATCATTTAGTGGGCTTTAGTCTCTTACACCTCCAGTTAGAAGAGCTGAATCTATACTAAGTGAAGTTACTCCTTTGAAATTCCTTTTCTATTTTTTATTTTATATTGGAAAATAGTTGCTTCCCAGCGTCTTCCCTGATGGCTCAGCAAGTAAAGAATCCACCTTCAGTGCAAGAGACACAGGAGACGCAGGTTCGATTCCTGGGGTAGGAAGATCCCTTGGAGGAGGAAATGGCAACCCACTCCAGTATGTTTGCCTGGAAGATTTCATGGACTGAAGAGCCTTCTGGGCTACAGTCCATGGGTTTGCACAGAGTCGGACACGACCGATGTGACTTAGCACACATGCAGGTGTAGTTGCTTTCCAGGTGCGCTAGTGGTAAGAAACTTGCCTGACAATGCAGGAGACATAAGAGACATGGGTTTGATCCCCTGGAGGAGAGCATGGCAACCCACTTCAGTATTCTTGCCAGGGAAATCCCATGGACAGAGGAGCCTGACGGGCTACCGCCCTAAGGTCACAAAGAGTTGGACAAGACTGAACAAACACACCCACATCCGTAGTTGCTTTACAGTCTTGTGTTAGTTTCAGTTGGTAAACATAAAAAGGCTGGGTGACAGGGAAGTGCCTTTGAATGGCGGTGTTCCGCACGCCAGTGCTTTCTCCAGTAACCTATCAATCTTCAGGTCCTCCCAGCATTTACTGGACAAGGTGAGGTTTGGAAATCAGCAACACATACCCGCACCCAAAAACCTTTTAAATCTCTCTTACCTCTCCTAATTATCAGTGTACTCAATAGATGGCAGGAAAATGAGCTGTTTCCCTAGGTTGAGACTTGTTCAAAGTGCCTCATGATAACAGAAATAAAATGAAAACTAGGAACATATTCTCCATCTAAAATTTGTGAAACCATAGTCCACCTGCGCTGAGGAGAGCTGAGGACAGCTACAGAAATCAATGGTAGCAAAACCAACAACTGTGGAATAGAAGGGAAGTAAAATCCCTCAAGACTCTGGAACCACTTGGTTGTAAATATTCCTAAACCCAGGCTTATAAGACAAAGACACCAGCCCATATTATACTCAAATGCTTGTGTCATTTTTAGATGAAGCGATTCGCATTTGGCCACTCCATCTTGATCTGTTTTCCCACAAGCAGATCTGAATAGGCATATCCCTGTGTTCCTTTTTTATAGACTTTTACTGTCCAAAGAATAGACTAATTTCACATTTCTATTGCCTGGTTCCTTTACCAGTACACCAAACATAAGGAATAAATAGTCCAAATTATATTCCTCTCTGGAAATAGTTATAAAAGTTTATGTCACTCCACATATACATTCTGCTAGGAAATCTGGGAGAAAAAATTGCTTACAACAAATTGGTCCATGAAATAAGATACAACATTGGTGTCCCAGAGAAAAGTAGAGAATATGTTAAAGAAAAAAATTTTTCATAACACTTGCTAAAGAATGGTATGAGTGACTTTATACAGGATGATGGCAGTAGGTGTGGGGATCAGTGCAGTGGGATTTTGCAGGAGGAAAGAGGGATCTGGCTCAAGTCAGAATAGAACATGAAGAAGCAGGGGTTTTACAGCCAAGGAGTGAGGTGGAGGTAGTGGTCAATAAATGGAAAATAACTAAGAGGGACGGCAAGTATTGCTAAACTAGCCTACTAGGATTCTTGCTCAAGGCAGGCCATGGTGATCAGATGTCACCTGGGGGATGGTGGGGGTGAGGAACCCAATTAGATATCAAGGATGATCAGATATCGGGGATGGGGTATTCTGGCTAAATCAACTTAGCAGGACTCTTGCTAAAATAGGGCAATGTCAAGACAAACACAGAAGCCCCAAAGTTGAGGCTTAGTTAGGGAGAAGATTCAGAGGAGCCTGACTGAAGTTTGGTCAAGGAGACACTCTTCATCAATAATGGGAAGTTACCTCCTAATGAGGACCCAGCTTCCTGTACTGTAGGGTGAGCCATGAAGACACAGGAGGAGTCATGACTGCTCTTGGAAAGACAGTAAAAAGCAGTGAGGACCCCTATTCAGGGCCGAATGAACCCCTCCAAATAACCCACTCAACCTCTTTTTTGCCCATGCTTGTATTGGGAAATCATGAAGAATTTCTTTTCATAGTTTACTCTGCATATTCTCACACATTATCTCATTCAAAATAAATCATTTTACAAGTGAGATAGTTGACACTCAGAAGCCAAGGTGAGACTCAAGAGGCCAGGGTGGAGACATGCCCCAGCCTGCAGAGCTGTTCCTCCTCTCCCCATCTCCTGCAGGAGGAGTCTGTTTCCGACCGGCATCCTCGTGACCACAGGCCTACCTCTGCGCATGCAGGCGCCTTAGATCACCTCTCTTTTTTTCTCAAAATCCACAGAATGAACATTTGCCCAAAGGGCTCCTATCAATCCTACCAAAACATCACCTCAAACTGAATGCAAATCATCCATGGCTTCCTAAATGACCCTCTTAATAATTATAATGGCCCTGTTGGAGACAGAAGTAGTTTTGCAATCTTACTTTTAACCATGGTGGCCTATCACCTAAAAGTTCATGTTCAGACACGAGCACATACATTACATTCAAGCTGTGAGAAAGCTTGAGAAGCATCAGGACTCCCTGATCAAGTTTTAGTCTGAGTGGAAAAACTCCACAACATTCAAAACTCCGAGAACCACTATAGTCCTTCTAAGATTGGTTAAATCCATGGATGTAGAACCCACGGATACAGAGGGACAGCCATACTTCAAAATGAAAACACCTGAACAAACAGTAGCTGAGAAAAGTTTCTCTAAACTTTGTTTTAACAGAGCTTTCTGAGAATTCAGCTGCCAGAGATAGACAGAAGACTTACCCTCAGCACCCAGAGAATGGGAGAATTCTGCTGCCACAGATCCCACTCCAGGGACCTTCCAGCCAGGCAGGAGAGTGACCATTCACACCAGCACCTGGATGAGAATTGTGAAAATGTGTCACAAACCTTATCAGAACCTCCCACACTTTCCCACAGAAGCTCTGACCACCAACATGCCCTTATTATGCTGATAGTATATAAACTGTTACCTGTGGCTGTTCAAAGAGATTCTCCTTATAGAATGCTGCTTCATGAATGTGCAATAACATTTTCTCTTATTACTCTGAAGAAAACTCCAGATTGTCAATTAATTCGCAGGCCCCAATGGCCACCATTCAGACCTCACTTGGTCAAGGAAAAGTTTTCTTGCCAGATCTCCAAAATCAACAAGCCACTGAAATGACCCTGCTCCCCCTCACCTCCAGGATTCCTGCCATGTGAGAATAAACCCCAGTTTGTTTAAGCCACTATTGGTTGGATTTTCAGCAACTTGAAGCAGAAAGAAGAGCCAGTAGTTCACCCTGTTCATTCTTTTTGAGCCAAGATACAAGTGCCCACTCTCCATTCCCCCAAAAGATGGGAAAAGTCATAGTTCAGACTTGGACCCCAGAAGAATCACAAAAGAAAGTGGAACCCTGTCTGGTGAGATCTATATTCCAACTACTATATATCGCTAATGTAGATCAGTTTCTTACACTTTTTCTTTGCACAACCTATATCAACTCTGGATTAATCTGGTAAAATGAATAAGACATTTTTAGAACACTGCCATGGCTTTCAAAAACCCCTTTATTGTTCAGAAAATGTTTAGTTTGAAAAAAAAAGCAATTATGTGTTTTCATAATTAAATGACACTCTTTTCCCTAAAGTCCTTGGTTTGTTGAGGGACGTTTGGAGCTAGGTGATGAAGGGTAGATGGAGAAATGCTGAAAAGGCAGATCACCCAGAAAAGTTTCTCAAGAGGATCCCCCAGCCAAAGTCCTCCCCATGTCTGTGCCATTTTTCAGTTTCTGGGGTTTCTAGTGGCCCAACCTATGACACTTTGCAGCAAGTGTCAGTCACAGAGACACGCAGTGTGGCACGGCCACCGGGAGCCATTCCCTAACTTCTCGGGTCCCCACACATCCTCCCTTCTCCAAGGAGAAATCAGAGTCCTTGAGCTGAACGTGTGTTTCTGCCAGAGTTAGCAGGAGAGGAGGAGGCAGCGGTGGGTGTGAGCTGAGTTCTAGGCCAGTGGGCTGAAAGAAGCAGGATGGAAGGATGGGAAGTAATGAGCACCACCCCCAGACCTGTGTCCCAGTAGGAAGCATTCAGAAACTTTGAGAAACTGAATGGGAACTTGAACTACAAAGCCCAAACCTTTAAATTAACCTGGAAGTTGGCAAGACTCTAATAGAATATTTTCACATTTTAAAAGCTCCATGAAAACTATTTGAACCTCAGTATCTTCATTCACAAAATCAAAGTATGGGAATAAGTGGGTCCTGAGATTCTTCAGGCTCTGAGATCTTATAATTCTATAATTGTATTCATGAGAGGATTTTGGCCATGGCTTTTCAAGTTAAATCCATATCTCTTTCAACAGCCTGAAGAAAGAAAGCTCATGAGTTTGAAAAAGAAATTCTCATATTACCCCCCAATGGAATAGCTATTGCACTTACTTCCAGCCCAACAATTGAGTCTCATAAATCAGCAGGTTCGGTAAATCCTTCTGTAATTTTTTTTTAAAACACACACCATGTACCAAAGACATGGGCTGCATTCAGGATTCAAAGAAAGATAAGATACCGCATCTGCTTTCCTTACTTAGCTTACACCAACAATTTTTCAAATACTTTTTCCAAATATTATTGAATAATGAAAAATTATTGTGACCCTGTAGTAATTATTCTAAGGAGAAGAATCTTCCTTTTTGTTAGCACCACCTGAGGTTGTTAACATAAAAGAGAATTTTCTTATTCCTCTGGCTGAGTGTTTTCGGCCTAGCACCCAATAGCCCATAATGAGGGTGTGGACTGATGTTGGATGAACAGCAGAGCAGAGTATCCCTACCCATTCTGAATGCTTTCTTACACAAACATGAGTAAACATGCTATGAAGGGTTAGGTATTTCTTTGTTGTTGAAGGGTTCAGATAATTTTTCCAAAAGCTGACAGAGGAGAGAAGTGAGTGTGAAGGATGGGATCAATTACTATGCCAGTGAGCACCCCACTCTCTCCAATCTCAAAAGGAAGAGGCTCTTCTTTCAAAGGTGCCCCACATGGATGATCCAGTTTCTTCTCTTATTCTATTCTTCTTTCTGTCTCCCCCTTTACATTTCATAACCACGTATGACCTAACATCATGGTCTCCCTCCTTATCTCAGTTCAGTTCAGTTCAGTCACTCAGTCGTGTCCTACTCTTTGCGATCCCATGAATTGCAGCATGCCAGGCCTCCCTGTCCATCACAAACTTCTGGAGTTTACTCAAACTCATGCTCATCGAGTCGGTGATGCCACCCAGCCATCTTATCCTCTGTCGTCCCCTTCTCCTCCTGCCCCCAAACCCTCCCAGCATCAGGGTCTTTTCCAATGAGTCAGCTCTTCACATCAGGTGGCCAAAGTACTGGAGTTTCAGCTTCAACATCAGTGCTTCCAATGAACACCCAGGACTGATTTCCTTTAGGGTGGATTGGTTGGATCTCCTTGCAGTCCAAGGGACTCTCAAGAGTCTTCTCCAACACCACAGTTCAAAAGCATCAATTTTT